TGAACATAGATTATGTCAGGAAACTTCCACATCTCCCTGACCAGACTGCCAGAAGAAAAAAGCCAACGCAGCAGGAAGATGCCTTCACTTGATCTCTGCCTTCCAAATGCTTCCCACTGTTTTGCTCTTCGTTACTACTTCTGTCTCAGATATTCTATCTGGAGTTACTTTTCCTTCTGCTTAAAATGTCCTTTAGAATTTTCCAAGGATCTGCTTGTGATGAGCTTTCCCTTTTGTTTTCCCTGAAAATATCCTCACTCTTGGAAGATTTAAAACAAAAATGAACAGATTTTGAAACTGCTGGGAGAAAACTCCATGTTCTCCCTCCCTTGTTGCCGGGAGAAAACAATGAAAACTGCAGATATAAGGCCTGTCTCAAATCTACTTACTAAATTCTGAAAACCTAATTCACAGAATTCAACTTCAAAGAAGTCTACAAAATGATTTTGTGTGTGTGTGTGTGTGTGTGTGTGTGTGTGTGTGTGTCCTAGCCTTTCCTGGGCAGTAAAACACTCCACAAGGAGATAGTAACAGTGGAAAGGATTCATGTGGTTAAATGGCATCAATGTAGGGGCCTGACTTGGCCAATGGGCTTGACAAGGAGAAACCAAGGAGGCTTCTGGGTGGGCCACATAAGCATAGTGTTAGGAAAAGCCAGGTGGTAATAGACAGAACAGAAGAAGAGAGGAATGACTTCAGCAAATGTAGATGGTTTGCGGATTCCTATGTAAGAAGAGAAGGAGTGGATAGAAGGTACATCTAATTTCGACAAAGCTTTGGTTGGCTTTTCTTCTGCTTGGGAATCAGACATGTTTTTGTGTGGAAGGGAAGGTGTTAACCAAGGAAAACAGAGGGAGAGAGGGGACACTGATATATGGAGGGATGGCTGCTGGTGTAGGAGGTGCTCACAGGGTGTGGAAAGATGTCATGATATTTGGCTAAATGACAAAAGCATATTATAGAGCAAACACTGTATGATCCTTTTCCTGTTTTAAAAATGTATTAGCTGGCTGGGCACAGTGGCTCACTCCTGTAATCCCAGTGGCTTGGGAGGCTGAGACAGGAAGATCGTGAGTTCAAAGTCAGCCTCAGCAAAAAGCAAGGTGCTAAACAACTCAATGAGACCCTGTCTCTAAATAAAATACGAAATAGGGCTGGGGATGTTGCTCAGTGGTCAAGTACCCTTGAGTTCAATCCCTAGTACCATTAAAAAAAAAAAAAGGTATTAGCTGGGCGCAGTGGCATACTCATATAATCCCAGTGACTCCAGAGGCTGAGGCAGGAGGACCACAAGTTTGGGGCCAGCCTCAGCAACTTAGCAAAGCCCTAAGCAACTTAGTGAGATCCTGTCTCAGAAATAAAAAGTAAAAAGGGCTGGGGGATGTGGCTCAGTGGTAAAGCACTCTTGAGTTCCATCCTCACTACAAAAATAAAACATACACACACACACACACACACACACACACACACACATATATATGTTTTAAAATAAAAAATATATATGTTTACATATATTTATTTCCTCCTTTTTTCTTATCCTTTCGTCTACAACAATCACATATTATTTTTATAAATAGAAAAATGCAATTAAGGTTGTTAAGAGGACAGAAGTGGAAGGTTATCCTTGAATTATAATAGAAATAAATTGCTGGAAAAAACCCTAAACTGCTTAATAAAATAATATGCAAGCTGAGTAAAAAAGTAAAGCAATATTTAGGCACAAAGGGAGGTCAGGGAGGCACACAAAGTACAAAGCCAGATGTGGACTGGAGGACATGTGCAGGGCTGGTGAATCTGAGCACCAAATTCTTCAGCTTCTCAGGACTAGCAGGATAGAAGATAAAGCCTAGGGCCCACCAAGAGGGAAGACTAACAGGAAATGCCCCCAAAGCAAAAACTCTACAGGGCTAGTCTCAGTGTAAAGGTGACCTAGAAATAAGCTCTTTCATGTCATAGATCTGCAAGGAAAACTGCCTTTCTTGGATCCTGATGTTAATTAAATTAAGGTGGGTCTGGGAGCTCCCACTTAAAAAAATTGTAACCACAGGCCTACTCTCTTACAAGTTTCAGTCTCCATTTACACACTAGGCCCCATTCTCCTCCCAAAAGAATAATCAAAAAACTTTGGAGTCAATGATTTGATTAAAAATAGTCCTGCTCTTGTAATGCCTACATGTACCTGACAGAAGCAAGCATCCCTGCCCTCAAAGAATTCCAAGGCAATGTTCTGAAGAAATGAGCAGCCCCCAAATAAAATAATTCAATAAATATACAATAAATGAACATTGTGAGTGGGGACCAATAGAAATAAAAAAAAAACAGATTCAGTCCCAGACTTTATATGCTAGAATTATTAGACATATTATACCAAATAAATATGTTTGATATAATTTAATAAATAAAATTAAGCTTTGAAAATATGAAAAAAGAATAAGTAGACATGGAAAATATCAAACAACTTATAGAAAAGAAAAATATAATTGAAATGTAAAACTCAACAGATAGGTTTAAAAAATGATTAGATACAGCTAAAGGGATGATTGCAGATGTGGAAGACAGAAACAGAACTTGCCCAAAATACAGCCCAATGAGATAAAGATTGGAAAATATAATACAGAAAAAGGACATGGAAGATAGAATAAGTTCTCTTAAATATTTAGTCCTAATTCTGTGAGGTGAGTAAATAAGGGGAAAAGACAATATTCAAAGAACTAATGGAGTATTACTTTCTATAAATAACTTTCTGTAAACTAATAGAGTATTACTTCTATAATCCACAGGTTTGAGAAGTCAAAAAATTTCATCTATGCTAAGTAAAAAGAAATGTGCATCCAGAATCATTACAGTAAAATAATAATATGAAATATATTAAATATTAAAACATTAAATAATATGCTATATGTTATAACATGATGGAAGTCAAGGATATAACTTTCAAACTGAAAGAGACAGAAAGGAATAGGAAAAAATTCAATACAGGAGCTGGGGTTGTGGCTCAGTGGTAGAGCGCTTGCCCAGCACATGTGAGGCACTGGGGGAAGGAAGGAAGGAAGGAAGGAAGGAAGGAAGGAAGGAAGGAAGGAAGGAAGGGAGGGAGGGAGGGAGGGAGGGAGGGAGGAAGGAAGGAAGGAAATAAATTGTGTCCATCTATAACTAAAAAAAAAAAAAATCAATCCAGGCTGGGTGTGGTGGTACATTCCTGTCAACCCAGCAGCTAGGGAGGCAGAGGTAGGAGGAGTGCAAATTTGAGCCCAGTCTGGGCACATTAGCAAGACCCTATCTGAATATAAAAAATAAAAAGGATAGAGATGTGTAGCTCAGTGGTAGAGTACTTGCTTAGCTTGTGCAAGCCCTGGATTCAATCCCCAGTACCACACATACATACACAGAGAACAAAAGAAAAAGAGACTCCTTGCTGCCAACATCTGCTGGGTTCTCCTGTTTCTTTAGTCCACCTTGTCTCCTCTGATACAACATCACACCCAAGAGCAAAAGATATTTAAGGTCAGGCTTTAAAATATCAAAGTTAGGACAATAGAGCAAAGCCACCATTTCTGGAGGAATGAAAAACAGATTGTCACATCTGTTTTTCATTCTTCCATTTCTGTTTGCCAGAAATGTTTCTGACAGGTGGGTGTGGTGGCTTACACCTGTAATCCCAGTGGCTAGGGAGGCTAAGTAAGGCAGGGGGACTGTGAGTTTGAACTGTCCTCAGCAACTTAGAGAGGTCCTAAGCAACCCAGCGAGACTCTGACTCTAAATAAAATATAAAAAGGGTTGGGATGTGGCTCAATGATTAAGCATTCCTGGGTTCAATCCCCAGTACCAAAAAATAAATAAACAAATAAATAAATGTTTCTGACATATAGGTCCATCATACAGTGGGCTCAGATTCTCGCTGATTTTTGAGTTGAGGGACTCAGAATTATCTTTATGGGCAATTATGTCAGCTCCCATTACCTTTCAAAAGGCAGGTTCCAGAGCGTGTGAAATTCGGCAGGAGTTGCTGTAGACCTTGGGGTCGAGTGTAGTTAATTTTTACAGGGAAATATGTGTAATCCATTGAAGTTCCCAAGTTTTCAGAACTGCAGAAAACAGGGCCATGCTGGCCTATGGATAGGAGCTGGTGATCAGGATGGTGCTGTGAGACCCAGATTTGTGGGGTACCCTAGTCCTACTTGTGAATATCATTTTGAGACACTGTATTAATCAAGGCTCTCCAGAGAAACAGGACCAATAGAGAATTGACTTCATTATTTATTATAATTTAGCTCACAATTGAGACTAAAAGTCTGGAGAATGGGAAAACCAATGGTCTGTCCCAGTCCAAAGCCTGAGAACAAGAGGAGCATATGTTACAACTCCCAGTCCTAGCCCAAAGGCTTGAGGATCTGGGTCCAAGAGGGGATGGAGATGGTAGTGTTAAGTCCCAGAACTTCAGTGGGCCAAGGGGCAGGGGCTCTTATGTTTGAGGGCAGGAAAATAAGGATGTCCCAGTTCAAGAAGAGAGTAAATCCACCGGTACTCCACCTTTTCTTCAGTTCAGGCCCTTGGTGGACTGGAGGGTGCCCACCCACACCGGCCAGGGCTATCTTCTTTACTCCCATTCAAATGCTAATCTCTTCCTGAAACACTTTCATAGACATTTCCAGAAACAATGTGTTACCAGCTATTTATCTGGGTATCTCTTAGCCCAGTAAAGTTATTTCATTAAAACTAACCATTATAGATCCTTAGCAAATATAATTAACAAACAAGCAGGTTACTCAACAGAGGCCTCAATTCCCACGTCTATAAGCGAAGTATGAAAAGAGCCATTGCCCTAGACTGTGGAAAGGATTAAATAAGATATGTATGTCAAGTGCCTGGTACTTAGTGGTCACGTAGGAAAAGCAGCTACTGTCATGATCATTATTTTTGTTCATATAGCTCCATTTTTAGTTTGTTCAGACAGTTTAACATATTATAATTTACATTATAATAGTAAATGTTATCCTCAGCAGACACGAACCTGTGGATCCAAGTAGCACCTGTTGCAGCTGGGAAGTCATTGCAGGATCTTGGTCCAGTGTTTGGCAACAGTTTGATCTGAAGATGGCAGTTTGGGTGATTTGGAGCAGCCTCAGCCTGCTGCGAGTGCTATGGTGTCTTCTTCCACAGACGGGCTACGTGCATCCAGATGAGTTCTTCCAGTCACCAGAAGTCATGGCAGGTAAAGTTCTCATGTGGTTAAGACAAGCAGCAGCTGAGTGGCTGAGAGGCTGATTGGCTATTTAGTTGGGGAGGGAAAGCATGTCTGTACAGAAGAGCAGTAACTCCACAAGCAAAGCTGTTTTAGCCTCTCTGGGACAACAGCTTGGGAGTGGGGACTCTTCTTCCTGAGTGGCAACACTGACCTTCTGGATGATACTGATGAAACACCAACCTCTTTGATGTTTTCCTGCTTGGACCAACAGGTCATTCAGAATGAAAGCTATGATGAACTCCTTAATGGAAGGATGAGAGTTGGGCTTTCCTAGTATCTGGGGAAGCTTACACAGAGTTGTGATCTGAGAATATGAAAATTTTCCCACTGTAGTTCAAGGAAGGAGAGAGGGAACCCAGACATAGGATACTCACTTGTTAGAACTTATCCACTAGGGGCTGGGGATGTAACTCAGTGGTAGAGCACTTGCCTAGTATGTGTGAAGCCCTGAGTACAATCCCAGCACTGCAGAAAACAAACAAAACCCAAATCTACTAGGTGGTGAAAGGTATATCAAGAGGATGGTTGCCAGGATCTATGAGGACTTTTGGATGCTATCAGTGTGTGACTTCCTCCTCGTGGTTCAAGATGGTAGCTTTCAAGTCTAAAACTGTCTTTCTAGAAAACAGGAAATGGACATGCCTATTCACTTTAAGGTCACATTTGGTAAATCATATGCTTTTTGTCCATTTCCATCCCACTGGTCAGACAGTTGACTTCACTTAGTTGCAAAGGAAGCTAGGAAACAAAGTTTTCGTATCTGATTAAGCGTTCAGCTAAAGACACTAAGACAGGAAGGGGGATTTGCTATCTCTGCCACATGAATCAGTAGGTAGATTTGGATTTTAAATTGAAAATTTTGGTCTTATGTCCTAAGTGTTTTTTTTAAACCTGAATTGTATACAGCAGCTGGATTGACTTGACGCTAGATTTTCTGTTTCCCTTTCACCTTCTGATATAGATCAAATGGCTAAAAGACTGGAGGAATAAGTAGCAGAAGCAAAGAGCCTGAATGATCCCCAGGCCATATAATCAGCTCTAACAGCCAGCAAGGTTATCAAGCATGAAATGCTATGGACAGTGGGGTTTGGCCTGGAGATGCAGAAATTAAAATTTGTTCCCTTACCCCAAACAATGAGCTATGGAACACTGGGGAACAGGGTCACAGATCAACCTCAAGCAGCAAGTATTTTTGAAATTATATAAATACTGCTTGAATTCCTTGTAAAAATTTAAGTATCATAAACAAAACTAAGATTATATTTGTCCATAACCCTTATTGCTTGTTCTCTGTCCCTACGCTCACAACCTCTTTTCCTGACAAAAATCTTTCTTAGAGATGAGTTCTGATCCTAGAAATATCAAAAAAGGAATAAAGTCTCCCCTGCTCCCTACCACACCCTTGCAGGGTACACTGTCACCTCATCTCCCAAGTACTGTTCCCTTTGTCTCCAACAGAGTATGGCCTCAACCACCTTGAGTTTCTCTATATTAATTTCTACTGCTTTATGACAAGCCATCACAAACCTAGCAGTTTAAAATTACAGTTTGAAATTAAATTATTAGTTTGCAGTTTTGTAGATCAGAAGTCCAGCATTGGGTTCTTTGCTCAGGGTGTCACAAGGTTGAAATCATGGTAAGGACTGAATTGAGTTCTTTTTTTTTTTCTTCAGGTTTTTAAAATAGATTTTTATTTTTTAAAAAAGTTAATTGAACATTATAGGAAAAATAAAAACACAAGCAAAGAACAAAGTCATCCAGTCACAAGCAGCTTAGTTGGATGTGTCCCTCTAGGTTGTGTGCATATATACACAATATCCCATTTTGTGTGACTGAGATCGTAGTGTATCATGCTTTTGGACTGAGTTCTTGTCTGGAAGCTCTGAGGAAATATCTGCTTCCAAGCTCATTCTTGTTGACAGAATTTAATTCACTTCAATTATGGGACTGTAGTCCTTTGCTCTTAATTTCTGGAGGCTGCCCACCCTCCTTGCCAACAGCCCCTTCCTTCTTTAAGCCAGAAGGGGATATCAATGCTTTGAATCTCTGCTTGCTTTTTCTGCATCCAGCTGTAGAAAATTCTTTGCTGTTAAAGGGCTGCTGTGATGAGGTCAGGCCCATCTAATAGTCTCCTGTTTCAGTCAGTACTCCCACAAAACCTAACCTAACCTAACCACAGGAGTAAAATCTACATTGTACTAGTCCAAGGAGTAAAGAAATGTCCACTAGAGGGTAGGGAGTTTAGGGTGCCATCCTAGAATTCTGCCCAGAGCTGGAAACTGGCTCACCTCCGCCTCTTTCTCTGCAGAGGACATCCTGGGCGTGCAGGCTTCACGGCCCTGGGAGTTTTACCCCAGCAGCTCCTGCCGCACGGTGGTCTTCCCACTGCTGACCTCTGGCTCTGCCTTCTGGTTGCTCAGGCTCTGGGAAGAGTTGGGACTGTGGCCTGGCCTGATGAGTGGCTATGTGCTGCTGGTAGGGCCCCGACTCCTCCTCACCACCCTCTCCTTTGCCCTGGATGGGGCTGTGTACCACCTGGCCCCGCAGTGGGGGGCAGATCGCTGGAACGCCCTGGCCCTGCTGTCTGGTTCCTACGTCACCCTGGTTTTCTACACAAGGACCTTCTCCAACACCATCGAGGGACTGCTCTTCACATGGCTGCTGGTGCTGGTGTCCCCTCATGTGGCATGGAGCCCCACACCCAAGAAGCCTACCTCATGTCCATGGTGGTACAACTGGCTTCTTGGGGCCATCGTGGCTGCTGGCTTCTTCAACCGGCCCACCTTTCTGGCCTTTGCTCTGATCCCCCTCTTCGTCTGGGGCATTCGTGGAGTCAAGGACCCTGGCTTCAAGTCCCTGATCTGGGAAGCTCTGGTGCTCCTCCCTGGGGCAGCACTCACTACAGTAGTATTTGTGGCCATGGACAGCTGGTACTATTCCAGCATCTCAAGATCCAGTAGCCTTGTCCTTACACCTGTCAACTTTTTACAGTACAACCTGGATCCCCAAAACCTTGCAAGGCACGGCACACATGTGCGACTCACTCACCTAGTAGTCAATGGCTTCCTGCTCTTTGGGGTGCTACATGCCCAGGCACTACAGGCTGCTTGGCAACAGTTGCAAGTCAGCCTCCAGGCATTTGCACAAATGGGCCTCCAGAGGGCCCTACGGGCCCAGAGCCTGCTGTCCAGTCCCAGATCTTACCTCCTTCTCCTCTACTTCACGCCCCTGGCCCTGCTGTCTGCTTTTAGCCACCAGGAGGCTCGATTCCTGATTCCCCTCCTGGTCCCCCTAGTCTTGCTTTGTAGTCCACAAACCCAACCTGTGCCTTGGAAGGGGACCCTGGTCCTCTTTAATGCTCTAGGTGCCCTCTTCTTTGGCTGCCTGCATCAGGGAGGCCTGGTACCTGGCTTAAAATACCTGGAGCAGGTGGTCCATGCACCTGTGCTCCCAGGCACGCCGACCCACTACACACTCCTTTTTACTCATACCTACATGCCCCCCCAGCACCTCCTCCACCTCCCAGGCCTGGAGTCATCTGTAGAGGTGGTGGACATGGGTGGAAATGAGGACTGGGTACTTTGCCAAACACTTTACAACCTTACCAGACAAAAAGCTTGCCAGGTGGCTGGTGGGCCATGGCTCTGCCGCCTCTTTGTGGTGACCCCTGGGACAACCAGGCATACTGTGGAGAAATGCAGCTTTCCCCTCAAGAATGAGACACTCATGTTTCCCCACCTGACCCTGGAGGACCCACCAGTCCTGTCCTCTCTGCTGAGTGGGGCTTGGAGGGACCACCTTAGTCTTCACATCATGGAACTGGAGCAGCCACTGCCCAAGATTCAGCTATAGAATCTATGCTACTCCACCTTGTATGAAGGCAGCTGGGCTGTGACATTGCCATAGGGCCCTGGGCCTCCTTCAGGATCCCCACTGCTGCCTCTTCTGGGCACAGCCATTGGTTGTTCTGCCCTCTGGGTAAGCCCATTCCCTTTTCCTTCAGACACCAAAGATCTGACCAGTCATGGTTCTGCTGCCAAGGTCCCAATAATCCTGGTATAATCAATGGCACCTAATGTCTGTTCCTGCCCTATGCCTTCCAGCCACTGTAATGTTTTTTTCTTTTTTTTTTTTTAAAGAGAGAGTGAGAGAGGGGGGAGAGAGAGAGAATTTTTAATATTTATTTTTTAGTTCTCGGCGGACACAACATCTTTGTTGGTATGTGGTGCTGAGGATCGAACCCGGGTCGCACGCATGCCAGGCGAGCGCGCTACCGCTTGACCCACATCCCCAGCCCCACTGTAATGTTTTAAATATACAATAGTACCTGATTGTGAAAAGACAATGCACTGCTAATGACGTTCCTGAATGACCTCTCCCAAACTTGCCACAATGCTTTACCTCTTTGGTCTCCTAAGGACTAGCATGTTGAGGCCTTGCAGACACATGAGAGATTATGGTGAAGGAGAGAATAAGTGGCTCAGATTCAGGGATCCAAGTTCTAGTTCCTGGTCTGCTACTCAATGACTTTTGAGAAGGCCCCTTCTATTCATCCAGCCATCTCCCAATCTGTACAGATAAGAGAATCCCTGAGATGTCTGTCAAATAATATCATTCTTGGAACCCACAGCACATGTCCCCTGGATCAACAGGCATGTTTCTCACAAAGCTCTTTGAACATGGAATGGTATTGTATTTAATGGCACTTTGTGTCTGCTCTCTCAATGTTTGGTCATTACTAAAATAAGTCATTCTGGAAAAATTTTCCAGCACTGTCTTCTACTTCTGTCCTTGAGAGGTGGTGGGAAACTCTCCAGCCATTTCTACATCTTACCCTTAAGAATCATTCTCCCAGAAGCTGCAGGCATAACTTAGTGATACAGTGACTGTTTAGCAGGCTGGAGGCCCTGGGTTCAATTCCCAGCACACCCACAAATTATTCTCCCACTATTCTGTATTTGAGGCACTCTCAGTCTGCCCCAATGGGAAGTGAGAACACACAATGCTTTATCAGTATCTGTAACCAGTCTAAAATTTTTCCTATGGCTTCAAACTTTCTAGGTTGCATGATTATCTGTGTAGCTTAAGTAGACATGATCAGAAATTTTGCTTGAAACCTCAAAGTGACAGCATTTCCCACAGGAGAGTCAGTATATTCATGCCTGGTGGTACTGAAGAAGGCAATTCCTAAGAAGTAAGGTAAACGCTGCAGAGAGCTGTGATTAAGGACATAGGTGCCTGTTGTCAAATGCCTATGCTGACACTCCATTCTGCCAGGCTTTGGGGACTTGAGAAGTGGCTCCCATTTCCTCATTATGAATGTGCTTGTAAGGAGTTAGATAAATCACAGAATGCAATTAGCAAGTGCCAGCACAGAATAGCATTCAATGTGTTAACCATATTACCATGAGCCTACAATCCCCAGAATTCCCAATCTATCTTGTCAGAGAAGTACCCACTCATGCCTTTTAATCAGCTCACACATTTAATCAGAGAATTTGGCAGCTGCAAGGTTGTCTTTCAATCCACGATCTTCTCTGGAATTAGTACCTGGCCTCTTCTGGGCACAGCCATTGGTTGTTCTGCCCTCTGGGTAAGCCCATTCCTAGTTCCATTTGCAGAGGACAGGCGCTCTTTCTGGATGTGTGTCCATGGCTATGTTATACCTGGGTCCAGTCTTTAAAAGCTTTCTCCACATTGTACCCTGCTCAATCACGAGATTTCGACGAAGATGTCGGTTTGGCCAGAGCTCTTAAGAGCCGGACGTCTGAAGGTCGATAATCTGAATCAGGATTCGAAGCTGTGAGCAGAGCCTGGGAGGACTGCTTAACGCCAAGGTCGGTGTACCGTACAAATGGGAAAGTAGGCGACCTCGGACCATCCCAGTCCAAGCTTACGAGTTTGCCCCGGGGCCCCTATGGTTATCTGGCGGTGGCCGCGGGCGGTCCCGGAGACCGCGACGTAGCTCCTGGGTGAAAGTGTCTCTGAATCGCGCAACGCGGCGGCCTAGGGAGCTCACGGGCTCGGCAGCGACTTTCCGTAGGCGGCGGGCCGCGTCCTGGCCGCGCAGCTGCGCTTGCAGCAGAGCGAAAGCCGTGAGCTGGGCCGCACGCCGGATGGGCCGCGACTCAGACAGTCGTTCCACCAACTGCGGGCTGTGCAGCAAAGCAGCCAACAGACGCCGGAGAACCATCCTTTTCTGAGCACCCCGGAACCGGGAACACGCCGTTCTCGCCTTCCGATCGGCCGCCTCAGACGACGGACCACGTGTGCGCCCGAGTGATGACGACACTGCCGCGCTGGGATTGGATCTGACGACTTCCACTTTCTGCTGCCCTCCGCGCGCTTCCGCTTCCGCCAGAGCCGCGGCTCTCCGGTTGATCCCTGAGTTACGCGTCCTTGTCGACCTCTCTGCACTATGTCGGGTGGCCTCCTGAAGGCGCTGCGCAGCGACTCCTACGTGGAGCTGAGCCAGTACCGGGACCAGCACTTCCGGGTGAGGAGAGCCGGGCCGCGAGAGGCTCAAGCCCTGGGCCAGAACGCTGAGGAACGGTTTGCACTTGTCTCATTGTGTCGTCTTGCATTCTGCTTGGTATCCTGAAATGTGAAGTGGGGTCCTAGTGCCTGCTGGGAAGCAGGGGTTGGATGCCTGAAGGGCGTTTGAATTTCACTGAACCACTTTGATAGGGAATATCAGACTCTCTTTCCCATTGCCTTGCAGCCGCTGCCTGTACCTGGGCCAGTGCAGAGGTTCGAGCGGCAGAGTGGTGGCTTGTTTTCACAGGCTGTGCCTGGGAAATTGTGATGACAGAAATGGGGTTCTCTATTCACTCCGAGGGTATGTGGAGGCGCATTATCCAGATACCGGGGCTTTTTCTTAAATTATTTTTTTAAAAAATCAACCAATGCCCTTTGGCGCTCCGAATCTTTTCTTTCTTTAGTACGATTATTCAACAAAATTCTCCATTTTGGGTGGGAGACATGGAGGCCTCCGAGTGGAAAGAGGGGATAGCCAACCTGAGCACGTTGATAACTGGATATCAAGATCAGATAATTGCTGAATTTCAGAAGAGGGAAATTTAGTTTAGGGTATGTCAACATTCTGTGGAAAGGGGAGAGGGCTGCAGGTAATCTCTTCTGAATTAGTAAAGGTGGGGGTGGGATTGTGTGCTCTGGCCACTCAACCTAATTATTTAATGGGGATTAGACCTAGGGGGTGCTTTACCACTGACCTACTTCTCCAGCCCTGTTTTTTTTTTTTGAGGTGGTGGTGGGGCTGGTGTCTCTGCGTTGCCCAGGCTAATCTCGAACTTGAGATCCTCCTACAGGTGTGCGCCAACTCAGTTATTTCATAAATGTTTACCCGGTGCTGTTGTCAAAGCATTCCTCTGAGCCCCAGGAGGGATAGGGGAAATGCAGTTTCTGCATCCTAAGAACTCAAATCTCTAGTAGGGATTGTAAATGGAGGCAAATAAAATCTAAAGGAGAAATCAGGAGTAGAGAGGGACAGGTTTTAAGCATTCAGAAAAGGAGACATTCCCCTTGCAACTGGGAAGGGAAGTGCATATAAGAGAAGGTAGGTGTGTAGAATGTGTTTGTACCTGGTACCGGGAATTTGAGGCCAAATTGAAGACACTCTTATATTTCAGTTTTAAAATGCTATGTGCCAGGCAGGGTGAGGTGGTGCACACCTGTGATTCCACCAATTTGGGAGGCTGAAGCAGGAGGATCCCATGTTTGAGGCAGCTTCAGCAACTTAGCAAAGACACTGTCTCAAAAAATAAAAAGGGCCCCTGGGTTCAACCATCCCCTACAAAACAAAACAACACCAAAACGTGCCAAGCATGATTTTTACTTCTGCAACTTTTACAGTTCTTATTAGTTCCACATCATGACCATCTGTGTCAGCATCTATCCTACAAGATTAAAATTGAAAGGGTTCATTTCTACAATCTAAAGTCTACTGTTTTAGATGTAGTATATTGTCATGTGGAATATCTACCTAGATGGAATCCACATTAATATCATACCTTAAGTATACCACAGTTGTTTTAATTAAGATATAGACTCCGCGCCAATTCTCCCGAAACCCCAGTGAGAACTCAATGGGAACTCCAAAGTAGTGGGTGCCCAAGGCAGCAGGATCTGCCCTAATCCTGGAGCCGCCCTAATCTCAGAGCAGGGTCACCTTTCAACCATTCCCTCTAGCAAAATGCCAGGCGTCATTCCGACTAAACTGTGGCTCTCAACAATCTGGATCAGAAGGGTCTGAGAATAGGTCTACTGATTGGCCTTCTGTTTAATCACATTTGTCCTCAATGTGTCAATTCAGCATCTAAAGTATCAATGTCTCATGATGAGCCATCTTGTCCCCAGGGATTGTCAGGTGTATTGACTAAAGCTCATACTTCTGTCTCTGGATTCATCCGGTCTTCAAATTAGAAAGCCTGTTAAGAAAGTGCTAGGTGTGGTGGCCCACATCTGTAATCCCAGCTACTTCAGAGGCTGAGGCAGGAGGATTACAAGTTGAAGGCCAGCCTGTCTCAAAATGAAAAGGGCTGGGGATGTCTTTCAGTGGTATAGTGCCCATGGGGTTCAATATCCAGCACTGGAAAAAAAAAAAAATTCTACGCTCAGAAGAAAAAAATACATGAGCATATAAATTATTAAAGCAGTTGTTGTTTTGGATAGTATCTATGGGAATATTACCAGGGGAATACTAGCTCTAGAAATAATAATTATTATTTTTTACTACAGAGGATAAATGGGACCTTTCTAATATAATGGGTCAAGGTCTGGAATTTAGACTTGGGCCATTAGAGAAGGATCCCAGTGCTCAGGATTTTAGTATGCAAGAAAAAAGGCATGCTACTTGTACGTAGCCTGGGGCAGGAGAGAGGGAAGGCTGAAAGCCTTTTCTCTCTACTAAAAGCAGTCTGGATCTCATATAAGTCCTTCACAGAATGTGAATACCTCCTGCACCACCCCTCCTTTTGACAAGGAATTTGCAGTATTGGTGCGTGAGAGAATCTGATTTCTTTTTTCTTTTCCCCTGGGTACTTGGGATTTAACTCAGGGGCACTCAACCATTGAGCCACATCCTCAGTCCTATTTTTTATTTTATTTTATTTTATTTAGAGACAGGGTCTCACTGAATTGTTTAGTGCCTTGCTTTTTGCTGAGGCTGGCTTTGATCCTCCTGTTTCAGCCTCCCAAGCCACTGAGATTACAATTGTGTGCCACCAAGCCCAGTGAGAATCTGATTTCTAAATAAGAATTAATGATTCCCCCAACTCATGCTGAGAATTGAATCCAGAAGTGCTCTACCAGTGAGCTAAATCCAGCTTTTTTGAGACAGGGTCTCACTAAGTTGCACAGGCTGGCCTAGAACTTGCAATCGTCCTGCCTCAGCCTACTAAGTAGCTGGAATTACAGGCATGTACCATCACATTTAGCCTCGGACATTATTTTAAAAACCATACTTAGGAATATTATTTAAGCAAGGCTTTTTTTTTTTTTTAAGTTGCAATGTTTGTCTCTGAAATTCTAGGGTGACAATGAAGAACAAGAAAAATTACTGAAGAAAAGCTGTACATTGTATGTTGGAAATCTTTCTTTTTACACAACTGAAGAACAAATTTATGAACTCTTCAGCAAAAGTGGTGACATAAAGAAGATAATTATGGGTCTGGATAAAGTAAAAAAAACAGCATGTGGATTCTGTTTTGTGGAGTATCCTTCCTGGTGTCTAATGTAACTGTTGAACCAAGGCAGTGATTGGCTGCCTATTTTTGAAAAACTGGATATTAGCTTTATCCCTATGCTTGTCTGTACCTTTTCTTCCATTTGTCTACATTCGGATGCTGTGAAAACTGGTAATTTTGTGTTCTATTCTGAATTCATGTTTTGTTTTCTGGTACTGGGAATTGAACCCAGGACCTCGAACACTGTATGCCAGCTCTCTATCATTGAGGTATATCACAGCCCTATCAGCTTTTTTCAGTCTCTGATCATTAGCTAATGGCTTTCTCATGTATGCTTCTTTCCTATCATTTTAATGGGATCTTGAGAAAAAAGAATGCATTCATTCTTATCAGCTTAAACCAGAAGTCTGCTTCTGAACCCATCACATTTAGAGCTCCCTATGTTGACCAGGCTTTCTCAGACTCTGGGCTCAAATGATCCTTGTGCCTCAGCTTATGAGTAGCTAGGATTATAGGTGTGTACCCAGCCCCACTTGGATTTTGTTTTTTTAAAGTTGCAATGTTTGTCTCTGAAATTCTAGGGTGACAATGAAGAACAAGAAAAATTACTGAAGAAAAGCTGTACATTGTATGTTGGAAATCTTTCTTTTTACACAACTGAAGAACAAATTTATGATTTCTGATTTCTGGGCCAAGCAAGCTTTTCAGTTCTCTCTCCAAACACAAGGGTCCAGTTTTCTCAGGTTTTGTTTTCTGGTAGCAGTGGCACAGAGTAATTCATGGGGAAAACAATGAAAAAACAAAAGGCTCCATCTATAAATTAGTAGGTAATCAGCCTAAGGATCAGAGTGTTTCCATTTGCCTTATAGGTCAAAGGTCAACAATCATGATGGAAAGTATCAAAGAGAGACTGCTAGAGCTAGTTGTTTTTCTCTAGCATTTATTTCATTCATTTAACAAAGATTACTGAATGCCTACTATGTTCTAGGCATTATATAGGTGCTAGATACGAATTTTACCAAGTGTTTCCCTAATTGTATAAAGATGAGAAAAAAGTCTAAATCAGCATTTCCCAAACCCAGCTGTTAATCAGAATTGCTTTTATTTTTTTATTACTACTTTTTAAAATATATTTTTTAGTTGTTGTTGGACCTTTATTTATTTGTATGTGGTGTTGAGAATTGAACCCAGTGCCCCAAGCGTGCTAGGCAAGTGCACTATCACTAAGCCACAACCCCAGTCCTCAGATTTGCTTTTAGAGATTTTAAAAAATACCATGTAGAGTAAAACTGATTAAATGTTTGGGAACTCCTAACCTGGTTAATACTTTGAAATTTTTCCATCTAGTGAAATGTAGTGGTACTTCCATACACACTGTGACCTCTTTTTTGCAACTCAAAATACGGAGACAAGGCTGAGGATATTGCTCTAGTGGTAGCTTGCCTGGCATGCACAAGGCCCTGGGTTTGATCCCCAGCACCACATATGCAAAAAAAAAAGGGATTGACCAAATAAATATTAATAGAGATAGCCAGGAAATCATAACCAAGATAGCCCAACATAAGTATTACATTTTCTTTACCTAAGTGCTTTTGGACCAGTAGGCTTGTGTAAGCTGAATAGTCTTTGAACTCCATCTGACTGGATTTGTTTTTGTACTTTTTCCTTAACAATTCAGGTTCATTTAGATGCTTCCCCAAACATTTGGAGAAATGCAATGTTCCTTAACACTTAAAACTTAAGATACTATTCAAGAGCAGATGCAGAAAATGCCATGCGGTATATAAATGGAACACGTCTGGATGACCGGATCATTCGCACAGACTGGGATGCAGGTTTTAAGGAGGGCAGGCAGTATGGACGTGGGCGATCAGGGGGCCAGGTATGCAGTCTCTGGGCCAAACCCTGCCTAGGATTCTAGTCATAATGATAGTTGTTTTTTCGAACTGTTTTTACTCTCTTTCTAATTTCTGCCTATAACCCTGGAGAAAACCACCCATTGGTTTTGGTGAATTTTTTAAACCTTGAAATAGCATATGCTATTCATTTCAATAAGCACTTGTTGTTGAACTTCTGCTAGGGGCTAGGTATTTTACATATGTGTCTAGAACGAAAGCAAAATACACTGAAATGGGTTTGTCTTAGAGTCTAATACAGGGGTGTACCCTCAGTGGTGGGGCACTTGCCAAGCAAGTGTGAGGTCCTAGGTTCAATCCCCAGTACCATATGCACACACCAAACAAACCCAAAACCAAACCCCAAAACACCACAGAACCTAACACACAGGTTTGTCTGCATGTTCATATAACATCTGAAAAGGTTCAGCTATTTGACTGACATGTTGTGGGCAGTGCATGTTATACCAGTCTTCTCTATATTGTACTTTGTGTATTCTTTTTCACTTAAGGTTCGAGATGAGTATCGACAAGACTATGATGCTGGGAGAGGTGGCTATGGAAAGCTGGCACAAAAGCAGTGAGTGGTGAGAGCCCCATCAGTGCAAAATTCCCTCCACTGGCCTGTTGTTTGTTGAAGAACATTACCCATAGTCTGATCAATGTCTCTACTGAGCTAGAAGCCTTTACATGGTTTCCTCTGAAAATTATTAAAGGACAATACAAAAGAATGCCTTTAATTCTAGTCTTAGAATATTGGTCGTGTCAAGTTACCAGATGATTTTCTGTTACCAGGTCTAAAATTGTGTTCTCTGGGGATGTGGCTCAGATATAGTGCCTGCTTCACATGTGCAAAACCCTGGTTTGATCCCCAGAAACATCCACCCACCCCCCCACACACAAAGTGTTCCTTAGCAAGAGGTTTGATTTATAATGTTGATTATTCTGTCGGCCAAAAATGCCACACTTTTTAAAGGAAGATGGAAAAATGTAAAAACTTGTTTTACCATGTTTGTGTCTTAAGTAGGTTCATGATCTACATTGGGGCCTGGAATGATTATTTTTTAAAATTTAAGTTTGCATGAGATAAAGTTTAATAAATGGAATTTTGCTGTGTGGTATAGCTTTGTTCTAAATTAGCAACAGGTGTCTGACAACTGAATAGAATTCAACATTGAAAACAAATTCAATCTCTAAAGGGTCAAGGGACTTTCCTAAATAGTTGGCATAGAAGTAAGTAAATCTGAGATGGTCTCAGGGACATGTCCCGCTTCTATTCCTTACATATTCAGAAACTAGGTACAGGGTTTGAAGAATTATACACATTTTTCAAAAGATATTTTACCTAAAGCTAGCAACAACAAGAAGTAAGGATTTGTAATATAGAACCTCACATATTCTAGTGGGTGTGGTGAGTGGGGGAAGATGCTATTAGTAGGAAATGTAAGTTAAGGGATTGCCTTGACATGACAAAGTGTGCTGTAAGGGCCATCAGATTTATTCTTTCCATTTTAATTAGTCTTGGGAATAGAATGGGTTCTTTTTAGAAGAGCTTGATGATTGAGAGAATACTTTACAAAAACAGAGGAAGGCTTCCTAAAGAAAGTGTCTATTTCAGCTACTTCTCATACTGAAGTCTGTTTTATTTTTCCCAAATTGTCCATACTGTGGCTCAAGCCAGGGGATTAGAGAGAATTTATTTTACATTTGTAAGGCAAGAGATGATTTCTAATATTATATGTGAGAATAATTTTCCCTGATATGAAAAAAATGTGAATTATTTTTCAAAGTATCTTCCAGTAGTTTGTGAAAATTGGGGCTGAACATGAACAGCTTTCATGTTACAATAAATGTGGGTTTTCTCATTAAATTCCAAACTGTTTGAATTTTTTATAAAGAGGTATAACAGTTGTTAGTGCTTAGGAATAAACCATTTGCAAACATTTAATCAGGACACAGTATTCATTTTTAGAATGTTTTTACACTGTAGTTTAAACTAATATTTTGTATTCTTGTGTGGTGAAAAAATTCAGATTCTACAGGCCTTAAAACCAAAGACTGTGATTCTTATTTGAACTGTCTTCTATAACAGATTTCAATAAAGCTGGACCAACTTATTGTCTTGGCCTTTTTCCTCTCCTATAAAAGGATTTGTTCTAGAACTCTTTTACTCTGGGCTGTCTGTAAATGAGTTTGGGGAGACTCTGAATAAATATGCAAAATTTACATGTTCATTTCAATATGACATTTGTTTCTAATTATGGCTTCAGGTGAAGAAAGAACATGGACACACATTCTTATGAAAACAATTTAGCATTGAATTAAGGGAACCTGATGTTTTTTAGGCTTGAGGATGCTAAATGAGCTTTCTTTGGGTCCTCTTTCCTATTTCTCACTTTAATCAGAAAAGTGAGAATTAGGACATATATGCTAGGTAGGTTTATGGAATATAATAGTGGGGGAGTGCCAGATATAGCCAGACTGGGATCTATAGAATTATTTGGATTTTATTAGCTAAAGTGTAAAACATGCAACGTGCTTTAGAGTTCTGCAATCCAATATAATAGCCCCTGGCCTAATGTGGCTGTTTAATAAAAATAAAATTAAACATTCAACTTCTCAGTTACACTAACCACATTTTAAGTGCTTAATAGACAATGTGTTAGTGATTGTTATAGTAAATGAAAACAACATTTCCATCATTGCAGAAAATTCTATGGAACAGCGGTGCTCTAAGGGTAGGCTGCTTAGGGCCTACACTGGTCACTGTTCTTAAGCCTTGTTATGACTGGAGTGTATTAAGGAAAACATACCATTCACCAAGCAGTACACATTATCCAACACAAGAGAACATGAGTTTATAAAGGCATTTAGTTTATTTTTCAAAAAAATACTTTGCTAGAAGGGTTGAGTACTGTAATTTTACATGATCATAATCTTTTTAAATTCTTTTCTGACCAACAAGTACCATTTAAGTGAACAACTTGTCTAGGTCTGCTTTTGTAACACCCAATACAATTAGTACTTCTCTGATGGTATTCCCTAGGTTTTAATTATCTGTAGGCCAGGAGGCACAGCCTAGCACATAGCAAAGTATGTGCTTTATAACTGCCAATTAACTTGGTTTCTTTAATATGATTAAGGAGAGCAGGTAACTGGCATATCGAATTCAACTATAAATTTGCCATTTCTTGCCTGAAAGGTTGTGAATCTCCCAGACCCCCCTCCCCCCACCAATTACTTAACCCAGGGAAGCAGTGAACTACAACTGTAGAGGAAAAAGGGCAACATATCAGGTGAGTGCTGGCTGTGTCCCAGTTAGATCTGTTATTGTTTTGTTCCAACTATAAACTCAAGATGACCATGTTACTCATATTCAACAGTAAGTAGAAAATACAAGGCAAAGCCAAAAATATGTGGGGATTACTGGCAACAACTGCTTCCTTTTTCTTCCTTAAAAAGGCTAACTGAGAGTTGATTCTCTCTGATTCTTGATAAAACTAAAAGATGCATTAAATATATAAATGTTCACTGCTACAGATTTAACAAAAAGAAAGGCCACCAGAAAGAAGCAACTATAACCTGGTAAATTTGCCCATAGAGACAACTAGACAGCTGGTTGAAGGCTTGTCATAAATTGTTCTTTTGTGCAAGGTCTGCACTCAGCCCCCAAACCATAAGATCTGTCTTGTGGGCAGCCAGACAGTTCAGTGCCAGGCCAGTGATGAACTCAACGCTTTTCGCCAACAGCCCAGAAGTGTTTCAAAAATGCCTTTGTTGCAAGGAAGCAATTACTGCAAACATCAGGACAAAAGACTATCTAGGACTTTAGCTAAATAGAGGTTTATATCTAATTACAAGAAGTAAAAGCAATTAAGTGTGCTGAAACCAAGTTTCATGATTGACAGAAACATTTTAAAAACAGACAAAATATTCAACTTTAGGCTAAACCATGCCAGGTACCTCAGGATGCCCTATGATGTTGGAAGTGAAAGAGTAACTAGATATGGACAGCTCACTTAAGGTCTCTGATCATTCCTGCATGCCCCAGTGCTGATAATGATGATCATATTTCACACTGGAGGAAGTGTGGCAACTCAAGCTCTGGGCATCACGATTCTTGTAGGAGGGCTAGGCATGTGGCTCAGTGGTAGAGCACTTGCCTAGCCCACAGGAGGCCCTGGGTTCAATCCCCAGCATTGCCAAAAGAAAAAATTCTTTTGTTTTTGTAGAATTTTTTCTCTTCTGTGTGGTGTCAGTGGGGAAGTGAGATACTCCCTGAAGAATGAGGCATTTGGAGTCAATAGGCTAGTTACTTACTGGTTACTTTGCAACAACCCCACAAAAAAAAAAAAAAAAAAAAAAAGTAAATGTCTCATATACATTTTGAAAGATCCCATGTTTGCATAATAGTTATGTCTGGAAACCTTAAGACAACATCTCCACACTATAAATTCTCATCTTCCCTTATGGTGACACAACCTTACCTCTAGTAGCATAAAGTGCTTCTACTCCCAGTATTTAACAAAGTAAGAAATAGTGACCTGCTTTTATACTAAGGAATTTGAGTCTGGAGTTGTTGGGAGAGGCTGCTTCCCAGTGTCAACACTGGTTTACATGCATGTGCATGTAAACAGTCTGACTCAACCCTCAACTGCTGGCAGTCAGCCTTGTTTCAATCATAACTTACAGCCAAGTTAAAGCATTTTAGCTTTTTCTTTTCAACACACACCTAACCAGGCATAAATTCGAGTATCTTCTGCCATTTATTTGGTAGTTTTCTGAGTAAACATTTGAATTTGTTACCAATATATTTTCCTCCCCTAGTGCAGAAAAGATAATTGGGTAGTTTAACATGTATCCTTCCTTATTTCCTTTCCTTTCAAATATGTCACAAAAAGCCAGATAAAAGATCTAAGATCCATTACTTTCATCTCAGTGCAGCTAATTATAAGGAAAGGGACCACATTACAGCCTGTCCCCTGAAGATAGAAGATTAACAGAAGGGAAAAAAGTAACTGCCATGCTAAAATGTCAGGATTAGTTGTGCAGAAGCCAAGTGAGCCCTGAATGAGGGGAGATCACTAGAGAGGAGGGAAGCAATTCTAATATATTACTGCACTCCTTGGGAACCAAGTTTTCTTTATTACCTTCCCTCTTCTCCCCATGCATCTGCAAAAGAAGTCAGCCTTCAATTTTGAATGTTCATATTTCAGATACACTAGAAATAGAAATGTATTAAGTAAATCTTAAATTCTCCCATATGGGAGGCAACACAAGGAAAGTAGCAACTTAAAAATTACTTCTCAAAAGGCTGAATATCTCATTTGTTTAACTACTGGTTTGACAAGACACCAAGCTTTTTCATAGGTCAAAATCAGAAAAAAAACAGGTTATTAAATAAATGTCTCATTATAAGATTTAGGCTGCTATGCATTGTAACTCCTAAGACCAGGACTGAAATCTCATTTGATAAGGTATCTGGCCCCAGTCACTGCCTTTTTCTTATACTTGAATCAACTCTTCCAAAGTAGGCTCTTTGCTTGTAAGTGGGCCTCCATGGACAGAACACACCCATCACTTTACAGCCAACTTCCATATCACCCTTCAAAAGGAATGCACTTCATTTTCTAGGACTCCCTTGGAGAGGGAAGTAAGTGAAAGGTGCTGCTGGTAAAAGTAAAACAGAACTGGCTTTGTCAAAACCTCTCCTAGCTACCCTTTATGTCCCAGGGAACACTGACTACTCCGAGTTATACTGAATCAAAAAACATTTGCATTTTTAGGTTCTGAGATTAAATTTTAAACCTGTATTCAGTTCACGCTAACTAAGTTTCAAAAGCTGCACCAAATCTACTAGGCTTTTTTTTTTTTTTAATACTCTTCACTGCATGCTCTGTCTATATGCATGCGTTTGGATAATAAATATTAAATATGGGAGGGACGCGCGGAATCCATAAAATTAAAAATGAAATCAAACTGAATATTAAAAAAGTACATGGTAGTTGGAGAAATGAATAAGGGCAAAAAATAAATTTGAGGTAACAATAGTGGCCCAACACCACTGATCTGAATATCTGTAAAAATTCAAATGAGTGTTTGGAGATTCAAGTAACAAACCATCTGTTCCAACTTGGTCAGACTTGCAGACCACTGCTGAGTCAGTCCAGCAGCCGGCACTCACACAGCTCCTTGTAAATTCTCTTCCGCACACGGGGCATGTCTTCTTGAGAAAACTGGAAAGGCTGCTCTAAAGCGAGGCACTTGCAGTACTGCAAAGGTCCCAGAAACATGTAAATGGCACATGAGGTTGCACAACAGCCCAGCACCAGATGCAGACCTGATAGAGTCTAAGATTGTATTATAAAGTTTACAGAAACTTGTGACAAGGTGCTTTACAACATTTATCTCCAAATTATAGTAGGCATTTCAGGCAAGTGTATAGCTAAGGATCACCCTCCCTACAGGCCTAACACTGTGAAAAGCACCAACTGATGAAGAGGCTCTAATTCTCAAAGTACAATCTGCTGAAAATGCAATAGATCTTACATAGCCTTTGGGAACCTGAATCTTGTTTACAAACTCCAAACATTTATGAAGTTAAGAATAAACCAATCTTCCAAGATCTTCACAAATCTTTAAATTTCACAGATTAGATAATTTCCTTCATAAATGTGTGTATAACAGAAATTTTTCCATTGCCCTTTTAGACCATCCAGAGACATGGGAGCAGTTTTAGACCATCCAGAGTCCATGGAATGCAGTACTCTGGGAGTGGTGGAGCAGGACTGTAATCTCAATAACTTGGGAGGTTGAGGCAGGAGGATCACAAGTTCAAGGTCAGCCTTGGCAACTTAGTGAAATCCTGTCTCAATATTAAAAAAAAAAAAAAAAAGGGTAGTGTTGATGGTGGCTGGGGATGTAGCTTAGTGGCAAAGCACTCCTGGGTTCAATCCCAGTACTACAAACAAAAACAAAAACCAGTGGCAGGCAACCAGCAGGTCTTTGACATCCAATAATTAAATTTTATTTATTTATTCAGTATTTCGGATTGAACCCAGGAGCTACCTATCATTGAGCTACACCCCCAACTCTCTTTATTTTTTGAGACAGAGTCTTGTTAAGTTGCCTAGGCTGGCCCCAAACTTGCAATTCCTCACACAGTCACTGGGATTATAGGCATCTACCACCATATCCAGCCTGCCAATGTTGTTTTTATTTTATTAAGTTAATCCTTTAAATGCCAATGATCTATGATACAAAACAACCCAAGTCAGTCTCTAGTATAGCTCACTACTAATCTCTGATAAGACATGGATGATATATATTTTCCATTCTTGGCTTGACATGTGGTTCTTCCTAATGATAACACCTGAAAATGCACTATTGCATCTCAACAACAAAGGGAGAAAAAGGAAAGTGTTCTGTTGCCTATACCTAGTATCATGTACAGGGACTGCCATCTCCCTTTCTAAACACAACAAACTTATATCACAAACTGTAAATTCAAAACAAAATAAAACAAAACAAACAAACAAAAACAGTATTTCTTTACCTGGAGCACAAAGACTCCACAGTCACTGTCATTTTTCTGTTGTGGAATACACTGAGGGGAAAAACAAAAACGTCATTAAAATAAGATCAAGTACTTCTTTCCTCTTTAGATAAACACAAAAAAACAGAATGAGATAGGAAACCTGTCTCTGTCCAGGACAGCTGGTATCATGTTCATTTTATAAAGGCATCTGGCCACATGAAAAGTGCTATCAAAGGCATCCACAAATTATAAAACAATATTTTCCCTAAATATGGGAAATGAAATGAAAACCCTATTTTAAAAACATCTATTTGGATACTTAGTTTTGCAATCAGTTCACTGACAAGTAAAAATGGAACTGTGGATGATCACAGAACAATTGCCTGAACTCTGAACACTTAGATAGTAACAATTCTGCTTAGCAGTCTTCACTTTTCATCTCTATAAAGCTCCCCAAACAACTGGTTATTGTATTCTGCCTCAAGTAGAAATATGAAAGATATTGGCTAAATTTAGAATACCTAGAATTCTAGCTGGGTCAATTCAGAAAATTTACAAGTTTAGTTTTGACTTGAACTGGTTTACTAGATAATTAGAAATAGAAAACTTGAGTTTAACTGTAAAATTTAATATGTGGTTTAGTTCAAGGTTGAATTGATAAATCTTGATCCCTCTGGGACTGGGTTAAAGGTTATTTCAAGACTCTTTGTCTATAACACTGGGTCAATGATTCAGACAGACCTGAGTTCAAGGACCTGCCTCTACCAATAGTTCTGAGGAAGGTCTTCTGAAGGTCACACTTCAGTTTTCTCATCTATAAAATAAAGATGCTGTTCATCTTTAAATGACCACCTACTTCACAGGTTATAAGGATCAAATGAGATCATTATATAAAAACACTTTAAAAAACAATAAAATAAAGACTAAATTGTCAACACTGGTGTTCATGACAGGATTGAGATTACGCCCAGAAAGGCACTCTGGCCCATCAACACCTTTAATGTCTAGAAACCATAACAGAGCTACATCCGAACTGTCCTCACGCTGAAGAACTAAGGACAGGCCTAGAAAGTAGCCAGTACTCTTGCTCCCATAATGGACCCAATAGTCATTTAGCATTTCTCTGAGTCTGTAAGTGCCATGAGGCAAGAGGTAGGTGCCAAAATCCCCAGCCAAAATTTGTTTTTCAGCAGAGCAACTACATCATTAGCAACTGTGCCAGGGATGAAAGGACTCAAGTTACCTGCTTTCAGCAAGCACTGGGCAATTGAGTAGCCAGATGATAAAGTACTAAATTGGCTTAATCTGAGTTGCCTCCCTAGAGTCTTCTCCAAGCTCTTTTTGGTCTCTCGTAGTCTTGAAATGCTCTTACACACAACCGCCCCTTGGATCATTCCCTCCCCTGGACATGCCCATTTTATTTGTATCACATACTTACCTTCGTAACAGCTGTCTGCCAACCCTGAAGAAATTCAGGTCTATTTTTTTCTCTGGCTTCAGTCAGCAAATACTTTCTTATATTCTGGTTAAAAAGAAACCACAACACAGATGCTGTGTTCCATGAGTTGGTGAAAAATGAAACCTGCCCGTAGCAGGTAGAAGCAAAGGAGGTGGCAACTGTGGCCCCACAAAATTGGGCAGTGTGTGCACAAAAGAGTTAAAGCTGGAACTTTATTTAGAGCTTTCATATCGTTAAGGAGGACTCAGACCTCCTGTACTCAAGGTATGCACTCAAGAGTGTGGGCACTGGTATTTGCTTGATTAGAATATTTATTGAGATGGTTAGCCACCTTTCCCAGCAGTAAACTGGCAAGATAAAAAAGTCTTAATCAGTGCCAGTGCTGAAGAGAAGGAAGAAACTCGTGGCAGAAATCATTGACTAAAACTAAATGAAAAAAATCTAGCTGAAGATAAGTTTTTTAGTTTGGAAGGTGACAAGAACAGACAGTTATCTCTATCCATTCTGAATACTGAATATAGTCAAGGGCACTACTGAAATTTCTAGACTGCTGGAGTTTCAAAATATCCTTAACGCCCTCAACCTCTTTGTGCATATTTCTCTCTGTATCAAGAGATTATGACTGCATGTTGCTCTTCTCCCAAGTTCTCAGAATAACTACTATATATAAATTCACACATAGAATAACGGCAAAAAAGATTTGCCCTTAAAAATAATCACCTACACCAACATTTACTAAGTATTTATAATGTGCTGAGTGCTGGGGATACAGTGGTAAAGAAAGCTGTTTAAGTCCTCGCTCTCAAGAGAATCTACACATTTGGAAATTTTAATAACATTTTTCATCAACTCTTTGGAAATACAGGCCCCCAACTTTCCTTCAGAGCCACTTTTATTACCCCCACATTTCCTTAAAACAACTGCCTAGCTTCACCTACCTGGATGACTCTGCTTGGCTTTAAATGACTTTTAGTTATCACCCCAAACAAATTGGTTCTCAGGGTCTTTCTCCAAATGTGCCAAGTCATTAGCCAACTGCAATTTGACTGAAAAAATTTTTGACTGGTCAAAAATTCTGAAGATGAATTTTTTAATAACTGCAGAAGAACCAAGTGCCTAATCCAGAATTGACTTAGAAATCAAAAGCCTGTTTCAAAAACAAAATCTTTTTAACCATCAAGAAGTTAGCTCCATGAAGGGAACTGTCTAAACCTTCTCTGACTCCTCAGTGTCAGGGCCTAACACAAGCAGAAGCCTGGGGTAGTATTTCCTAGTTGAAATGATTTTTGCAACACCCTTGCTCTCCTTGTTTGTTTTTTTCTATTTGTCCAGGGAAGAGACAGCACTGACAGTCTCTGATGTGAGACAGTCAAGGAATTAAGCAAAGTGAACTGGAAACACACAATCACATCTGATACTGGACTAACTCTCTTTTGTACTGCAGTTAGAGCACTCTGGGCCCAGGAATATCCCAAAGTAGGGTTTTTTCCCCCCTGGATTTCTTAGAACCACAAACATGGATTTTGAAAATTTGATCTTCTTAGTTTTGCTTATACTTACTTTTTAAATTAAATGTTAAATATAAATTTAAATATCTTTATTTTAATATATTCTTTAATATATATTTATATATTATACCACATAATATATAATAATTTATATATACAAATATATGTACCACATATATTTAAATATATACATTAACATTTTAAATTTATACATTTAAAGTAAATATATAAATATATATTCCTTGTTAATAAAAATTAGTATAACCAAAATACGGTGAAATTTCCTTTATTAGTCCTACTCCTTTCTATACTTATCCAAAAGCAATCACTGAAATCAAAATTCTACACATCCATCCCATGCTTTTTTTTTTTGAGAATGGGGATCCCCCTATATTATACACACTGGTCTTGAACTCCTGGAAGCAATCTTCCTTCCTCAGCCTCCTGCGGAGCTAGGACTACAGGCAGATGCCATTATTCATTGATATCTAATTTTTTTATTTACAAAAATATATCTTTGTATATTACATATACAAATATATATGTATATATTACAAAAATATCTTTGTATATTACATATACAAATATATATGTATATATACACATATGCACACATAAATGTATTTCCCCCATAAGCATATTATATCGTTCTGCCACAACTGGCATTTTCTTTTGGTGGTGGTGGTGAGGGGGACCAGGGATTTAACCCAGGGGCAATTTACCACTAAGCTACATCCCTAGACCTTTTTATTTTGAGACAAGGTCTCACTAAGTTGCTCAGGGCCTCACTAAGCTGCTGAGGCTAGCTTTGTAATTTCACCTCTCCTGCACAGCCTCCTGAATCACTGGGATTATAGGCATGTGCCACTATACCTAGCTCAACTGGCTTTTAAAAACTCAATGATCTTTCCCTGTTAGGATGTAAAGAACCACTATATTTTGTTTTGGTTTTGATGGTACTGGGGATTGAATCCAGGGTCTCGTACATGATACCCAAGTGCTCTAAGACTGTGCTACATCCTCGCCCCTTCTTTTAAATTTCATTTTGAGAGAGGATCTTGCTTAATTGTCCAGATTGTCCTTGAACTTGCTATCTTCCTGCCTCAGCCTCCCAAGTTGCTGAGATTATAGGTGCACACCCCACACTCAGCTCAGAAGTTTTAAATTATGACATGGTTAAATTTATCAAACTATTCCTTATGTCTCTTTTTGGGGGGAGGGTTCTGTGTAAGAAAGCATTCCCTATTCTGAGAACACAGTATCATCTATATTTTATTCAAATGCTTTTAGTTTTAGTTTTGTTTTACAGGTAGGTATCTATTCCATCTGAAATGTTTTTATAATTAGCATAAATATGAAGTAAAGATCTATATTTACTAATTCTCCCAGTGTCATACTTGAATAGCCTACCTTTTCCTAACTTCATCATATACTAAATCCTCACGTATGCATGAGTTATTTTTGGATTCTTCATGCTGTTCCAATCTATTTATCTACTCCTAAGCCAATATAATTATAGTTTTGTTTTTTTTTTTTTTTTAATATTGCTAGGGATCTGAGTGTGATGACGCACATCTGTAATCTCATCGACTTGGGAGGCTGAGGCAGCAGGATCATAAATTCAAGGCCAGCCACAGCAATTTAGTAAGATCCTCAGCAACTTAGCAAGAACCTGTCTTGGGGAGGTGAGTAGGAGAGGACCAGGGATGTAGCTCAGTGGTAAAAGCATCCCTGGGTTCAATCCCCAGTACCAAAAATTTTGTTAAAAAGCAGTTTTAAGGGGCTGGGGTTGTGGCTCAGCGGTAGAGTGCTCACCTAGCACATGCAAGGCCCTGGGTTTGATCCTCAGCAGCACATAAAAATAAATACATAAAATAAAGGTATAAAAAAATAGTTTTTTAAAAAAAGCAGTTTTAAGGGGAAGAGAAAAGGAAAAAAAAAAAAAAAAACAAGGCTGACAAAATCAAATTAGGGCATGTATCTCAGAAGGGGATCCTGATCTTGGACAGCTACCTCTCACCTGTGGAGTCCTCTTATAGTTCTTTTCTTTACCAATAGTTTAGAGGACATTCACAACAGAAAATGTTCCTCTATGGTACTGACTTCTGCTGTTCTACCTAGAACTAAGATAGGACTGGGTCAATCACAGATTAAGTGAAAAAAATAGGATATTAACTTACCTCTACACAAAACTTAAAATGAATGCCTTGGGAATCATAAAATGAAATAATTCGATTAGAGAGTGTCACAGTAATGAGAGACCAGTGGACTTCCAGGTGAATAGGAATCAATAGAAGACTCTTTTTAAACAAATCCACCTGATTAAGAGAAGAAAATGCAGCTGTCATCACAAAACCAACAACATACAGCAGCTTCTTTACTGACTTCTGACTTCTCCAAGGACACAAAAGTAGACAGTGATAGGCCAGTATTTGAACCCAGGTCTTATTTTTATAGCCCATGCTTATAACTACTAAGCTATAACACACAATAAGAAAAATGAAGAAGTACTATTTTTCATTTAACCCACTAAAACTCTGTTTTATCAAATGGTTTAACTTTTTCGTTTTTCTCCACCACCCGCCGCCTTTTTTTTTTTGGTACCAGGGATTGAACCCAAAGGTGCTCTACCACTGAGACATATCTCCAACCCTTTTTACTTTTTACTTAGAGACAGGGTCCCTTATTAAGTTGCCCAGTCTAGCTTCAAATTCACAATCCTTCTGCCTTAGTCTCCTGAGTCACTGAGATTATAGGCATGTTGCCACCATGCCTGGCCTTACCTAATTTTCTTGGGCACATTTTGACCTAGACTCAACGTTTTAGGAAATAACCATGGTACTGGAAAACAGAAAAGGTCTAAGTCTTTCACCTTTCTCTGGACTCGGTATAACAGTTAATATCATGAGCTTCAAAACAAGTCTACTTAAGTTCAAATTCTTCCTCAACTATGAAATGCAGAAAGCAATAATACCTATCTTATGATGTTGTTGAGAATAATAATGCTTGAAAAATGCACAAAACTGTGCTTTTAGTACATTGTAGATAGCCAATAAATCTTAACTATTATCATTATTACTCCCTTGTCTTTCAGATGTCAAAATCAAGAACATCCTTGAATAATATTTACATACCCTTTATATCTGAATCCATCTTTTACAATCTTAACATATTCTTTATACCCTAATACATACAATTTAGAAATAGTGCTATTATATTAAAAAATCCAGTTATATCTTGGGTAATAGATGCTCCACTAAACATCCATAAAAGAGTGAATTTATTTATTTTTTAAAGTTAAAACAATGACAATACTATAAAGTATGTCAGATTCTTAAAAACCAATCTCTCAAGTCTTCTTTTTTGCTAATAATCAGATAATTTATTTATGCTATAAATAAATCTTTTATCAGTCTATATGACCTTACAAGCAAAGCACTTTAGTGTTTTTGTTTTTCATTTTCTATATTTATAAACCTGGAGTTGGGGGAGTTGGGCAAAAGAAAATGTAGGGCCAGGGGTATAGCTCAGTGGTAAAGGGCTTGCTTAGTTAGCAAGTATTTGAAATATTTATTCAATCCTTAGCACCACCAAAAAAACCCAAAACAAAACCTAATAAGAAAATAGTTCGAGCATCCCTAAAGTTCTGAAACCACAAATGCTGCCAAATTCAACTTTACTTTAGCATGATGATATCACAAGTAGAAAATTCTGCACATGAAATTATGTTATGGGTCAAGCCTAAACATAGTCACAGAAGCTGGGGGTATAACTCAATGGTGGAGCACTTGCCCAACATGCATAAGGCCCTGGGTATACAATTCCCAGTACTGCAAATAAATAAATAAATAAATAAATAAATTTAAAAATTTTTTAAAAAATAATTAAAACAAACACATATAACTGAAAATACTATATAAAATTTAATCTTCAGATTATGTATATAAGGTATACATTAACCATAAATGAATTTTAGTTTTGGGTCTCATCCCCAAGATATCTCATTATAAATATGAAAATACTCCAAAATGGAAATATTCCAAAATGAAATCCAAAATCAAGCATTTTGAGTAAGGAATATTCAGTCTACATTAGATAAAATAGACACTGATCTTTTTTGAGGGGAGAAACAAGTCTTTTCTGTCAAACCAAAGAGACTTCATTTTAGTTAACTTCCTGGGCTCCCATTTTCTTGAAACTCAGCTGTCTTTCTAAAGTTAGTATTTCCTCAATAGTCAATTTGCACCTAAGATTGTGTAGACAGCCCCAACCAAAGTGTAATGGCCAAGTACCCCTGTGTCAGAGATAAAAGCCAAGCACACTGCCTGCTTGCAATGCCTGCTTTCAATTTTGATTGCTGTGTACCCTTCTGCACGTAGAAATAAAATTTTTGCCTTGCAGACAGAGCCAAATAAGTCTGTGAGTGTTTATTTGGTTCTTAGGGCTTACAGGACCCATCCCCTACTCCATTAATTCCAGCAACAGGGCCTTGTTAAATTACTTAGGCCTTGCTTAGTTGCAAGACTGGCCTAGAAGTTGTGATCCTCCTGCCTCACAATTAAACAATGAGATTCAAAAGAGAAAAAAAAAACTATTGCTGAGTACATGCCAATAATCCCAGTGGTTCCACAGGCTGATGAAGGAGGATCGAAAGTTCAAAGCCAGCCTCAGCAACTAAGTGATGACCTAAGTAACTAAGTGAGATCCTATCTCAAAGGGTCTGGGGATGTGACTCAGTAATTGAGTGACCCTGGGTTCAATCCCCGGTACCAAAACAAAACAACAACAACAAAAACCTATCACATTAAAAAGTCTGTTTCTAAGTAACATCGTATTGGCCTTAAAATTATCTTTCCACTCAAAGTGATTAATTTCCATTTCAAATCTAGAATAAAAAATTTAATACCTTTTTAGTCCATCTCTTAACTCCATTATATCCTTTGGTTACCAGCTGTCTATGAAAAAAGCTGTTGAAGAAGTGAACCTAGAACAGACACCAAATACAAGGAATCAGATTACATTAGGCTGTGCCCAGATTTAACTTCAAAAGAAAATTAAAAAATTTAAAAATCTGAACACAAAATAATTTAAAAATACATATTCAAAAAATTTTTAAATAAAAATGTAATGTTCTAACATAAATAGACAAGGGAGAGAAAAGTTTCTTCAACTAGTAGTCAAAATACAGAAAATATATTACTTGATTTATAGAAAATTCTGTTTAAATTTTTCATGAGAATGCTCTTACAGGTGTGGTCTATTGTCAGTGGGGTAGCAATTGGATTACCTGAATCCAGTCAAGTAGAGACAAATGATAAATCTCTCCAAAATTTTTAAAAGATTGAACAACTGAAATAGGATCTGAAAAAAAATGAGCAAACCAATACCTTGAACTCATGAGATATGGATTACAAAACTCTCCATCTGAAGGATGTGGATTTGAAGACTCCCATACAACTACAAGAAGGTCTTAGCACAATCATTTCTAGTACCAAAAATTACCCTTACCATACAGATTATCAGGTCCCACCTCCTTGGATTCAGATTCTGCCTATAAGTGGTATTGGCTCATCTAAGTTAGTCTATACCATGGTCTTGAAGCAGGGCTCTAACTTGAACTCACTTTAGATAATAAGACTATTTAGTGTGTGGTTCTCAGAGTATGCTCATTAGACCAGAAGAATCAGCATCACCTGGGAACTTGTTGGAAATCTAAATTCTCAGCCCAATTCCAAAGCTGCTAAATTTTAGCACAAACTAGCAATCTGGTTTTACAAACCTTTCATGTGATTCTGACGCACATTCACTGAGAACCATTCAGCTTAACATGGATAAAAAACAATCTGTTTAGTTATCTGTAAAAGCAGTGACTCTGTAACTCTGTTCTTTAGAATCATCTGGAGGACTTATTGAAACAGTGCTGGGCCCCAACTCCCATTTCTGATTTAATAGAGCTGAGCTGGGGTCTAAGAATGTGCATTTCCATTAAGTCCCCAGGTGATATTGACACTGCTAGTCTGGGGACCACATCTTGAGAACTACTGCCTTTGAATATGTTTAGATTTAAACTTTTTGATGATTAAGAGCATTTCATAAAACAATCCAACATATTAGCTTCATGATTTGAATTTATAATGCATAATGAATTTATGATTGTAAGTGGAAAGCTATTAAAGTTTTCTATATTGAAAAACAGTACTAGAATCTGCAATTAGTTATATTCATCTGTTTAAGTTTTTTGTTTGTTTGTTTGTTTTTGCAGGACTGGGGACTGAACCCAGAGGTGCTCTACCACTGAGCCATATCCCCAACTCTTTTTATTTTTGAGACAGGGTCTTGCTAACCTGCCTTAGCATCCTGACTAGCTATGTTATGAGATTTAAGAACTTGAAAAGTTCTGCAGCTCATCAGGTATCTGAATTTTCAGAAAAAAAGATATCAAATTTAAAAATCATTTTAATATGTAACAAAGCTCTTAAGAGAATTTAGAACTGGATTATCTATTTGAATTGATTAAAATTAAAAAAAAGAGAGAAAAGGTGAAGATGAGTAATATTTTACATTTTTATAAAGAGGGTAAGACTTTAGTTGATTGATTGATTTAACTGAATCCAGGAGCACTTTTATTGAGCTGCATCCCCAGTCCTTTTTATTCTTTATTCTGAGACAGGGTCTTGCCAAGTTGCCCAGGATGACCTCAAAGTTATAATCCTCTCACCTCAGCCCCTTTATTAATAAACAAAAAAAGTCCCCTTATCAATAAACATACCTACCTAGATACAAATTTGCTACTGTGACTTTCTTATGCTGAAGCAGGAGGATCACAATTTAGTGAGAACCTTATCTCATGATAAAAAAGAAAAAGGGCGGGGATGTGGCTCAGTGCAAAAACATCCCTGGATTTAATTTCTAGTACCACACATACACATAAATTAATAAAAATGTGTATTAATAAATTTTGCAATAGGATTTCCCTAAGCTCATATAAATATATAAAGATAATACATAAATGTGTACATACGTAATATAGCCCTTTAAAAAAAATCTAAGTAATTATAAAATAATTAAAGTTTGAAAATAAAAAAAAATCACTTTTTTTTAATATACAAGAATTTCCTTAAGAGGAAAATTTTCACTTACTTTATCTGGGACTGCATCCATTATCAGCTCGCCGTACATATTTATGACCTATAAAAAGTAAAACCAATTTACTAACCCTATACAATTCAGAACAACCTAAGTAGAATGTATAACATTCTGAATAATAACAATAAAACTTTTCAATCCTGGCATTAGTGAGTCACTTCAGTACACATTAAAGAATATTTGATTAATAAAAGTAAGTATGAGACCAGTCCCTACAATATTTTATTGACCAACATCCTTTGTAACTTTTCTGCAGTGAGAATCTGCATTACACTAACCTGGTCATTTAGCCAATTCTGACCATCCAAGGTCGCCAGATCATCCATATCCAGCATATGTTTATTGTAGAAGATGCGGAAGTTGCATTTTTGATGTCTGGCCCGATAGTTTGTTATTTCTCTATTGATAAATGGTTTTCTGAAACAAAGATTTTGAAAGAAAAAAAATGTGAGTTCTACTCAATGCACTATTAAGTACCCTTTTTCTCCTAAATCAAGAGAAAATCATATATGCCAATCATTTTATTTTCAAGGATTTAACTTTCACCACTGGCATACCTATTGGAAAAGTCTTCATTAAAGACATCTTTTAATCTTCCAAGGACATCTTTTTCACTGAGTGGGACCAAACTTCCATATTTTTTCATAACCTCATCTAGAAATCCTTAAATAAAGGAAGAAAGGAAAGTTAAGATGGAAAGACAAAGCAATTTCTCTTAATATTTAATCTATAAACAATTCAACACATACTTAAATGTACATTATAACATAGGATTATACTCCGTATAAGGAAATATTTTAAAAGTTCTGACACTATTCAAACAAAGTGGATTAGGCCCTTACCACTCTAACCTAGAGAAAAATGCTGTGAGGTATCATTTCACAGTGCATTTTTAAACTACCAATGAATTGTTAGAGGAACTAGCTAAAACTAAAGATTGATGCCTTTCCATAACTTAACCTTAGTGATAATTCTCTCTCATTAAGAGTAACATCCAGAAAGTTGGACACAATGGTGTGTGCCTATAGTTCCAACTACCAGAGGATAAGGCAGAGCATTGCTTGAGCTCATCAGTTTGGGACACCCTGGGCTACTCAGGGAGATCCTGACTCAAAACAAAAAACCCACACACACCCCCACCCACAGAGAAAACATCTAGTTGGGTGCAATGGTGTGCACCTGCAACCCCAGCATTTGTAATGCTGAGGCAATAGAACTGCAAGTTCAATGCCACCCTGGGACAACAGAGGGAGATCCTATCACAAAATAAAAGGCATAGGGATGACAGGTGTAGTGGCACATGCTTGTAATCCCAGAGACTCCAGAGGCTGAGGCAGAAGGATTGCAAGTCCAAGGTCAACCTCAGCAACTTAGTGAGACTGTAAGCAACTTAGTGAGACCCTGTTTCAAAATAAAAAATTAAAAAGGGTTGGGGATGTGGATTAGTGGTTAAGCACTCATGGGTTCAATTGCAAGTACTCAACACTGAATAGAAATATGAGTAAGACTGACTGACATTAGAGACTGGAACTATGCAACAACTGGTCCTATATAACACTATTTTTATGACTTTAAAATTACATCTAAAGGCTAAATCACCTTGTTAAATGTGCCTGAATTAAGTCACAATTTAGCCAAGTGCAGTGGTGCACATCTGTAATCCCAGCAACTCAGGAGACTGAGGCAAGAGAATGGCAAGTTTGAGGGCAGCATTTAAATCAATTTAAGTAGTGTGAACATATATACACATATATACAGGTATATAATATATACGTTTTGTTTTTAGTACTGGAGAACGATCCCAGGGGTGCTTTACCATGGAGCTACCTCCCCAGTTCTTTTTTTGTCTTATATGAATTATTCCTCTTTATTGTTTAAAATATTAGTTATAATTATATAATACAATTCACAATATATTAATTACTTGATATATATTCATTATAACTTCAAAATATACATTTTTAACCTTTTCCTTTTTAAATTTTTTTCAATAAAACTTATATGATGTATCATACTAATGAACTGTGAGAACTCATTTTTTAAATTTTCTTTTTTAGATTTAGTTTATTTATTTGTACTAATCAGTTATGCATGACGGCAGAATGCTCTTCTGATTCACTGTACACACATGGAGCACAATTTTTTACTTCTCTGGTTGTACTCAAAGTAGGGTCACATTATTCATGCAATCATACATGTACCTAGGTTAATGATGGCTGTCTCATTCCACCATCTTTTCTACCATAATGCCCCTTCCCCCTCTCCCCCATCCAGAGTTCTTCCACTGATCCCATGCCCAATCCCCCATTAAGAAGTAGCATCCACTTATCAGAAAACATTTAGCCTTTGGTTTTTTGGGACTGGCTTACTTCACTTAGCATGATATTCTCCAACTCCATCCATTTACCTGCAAATGCCATGATTTTATTTATTTTTTAATGCTGAATAATATTCCATTGTGTATATATACCACAGTTTCTTTATCCATTCATCTACTGAAGGTCATCTAGGTTGATTCCAGTTTAGCTATTGTGAATTGTGCTGCTATGAACATTGATATGGCTGCATCACTATAGTATGCTGTTTTTAAGTCCTTTGGGTATAAACCAAGGAGAGGGATAACTGGGTCAAATGGTGGTTCCATTCCCAGTTTTGCAAGGAGTCTCCATACTGCTTTCCATATTGGCTGCACCAATTTACAGTCCCACTAGCAATGTATGAATGTGCCTTTTCCCTACATCCTCGCCAACACTTATTGTTGTTTGTATTCTTGATAACTGCCTCCTTTTTTGTTTTTTTGGAGACAGGGTCTTGTAGAATTGCTAAGGCTGGCCTTGAACTTGGGATCCTTTTGCCTCAACCTCCTGACCTTGCTGTAGAGGTGTGTGATACCATGCCTGGCTTTTTTTTTTTTTTTAATCCTTTAATTTTTGATGATATTGGGGATGGAACCTAGGACCTCATATGCGAGGCATGAACTCTGCCCAGAGCTACACCCCAACCCTATATATGCATTTCTAGGATGATCCACTAAAGAAACATACCTAAAAAGGCTCTAGGAAATAAAACCAGGACATTATTTATTTTTTTGGTGATATTAGAGATTGAATCCAGGGGTGTTCTCCCACTAAGTCACATCCCCAGTCCTATTTATTTTTATTCTAAACTGCTAAGCCTCTAATTTCAATCTTATCTCAGCCACCCAAGTAGTTGGAATTACAGACATGTGCCATCATGCTCAGTCCAGGATATTATTTCTAAGTAAATACAAAGAAACTGCAGAAAGGCTTAGATGCTCACAAAAGCAGAGGCATGATAGGCACAATTCACTGATGAAGAGCAGAGAAAACAACCACCTAGTTATCAGGCTGACAGGTGAGCCTATTGAGTTGAGATGGGAAAAATGAGGAAAATATGTTAACCATATATCCTATCCAGTTCCCTTTTGAAACTTTTAAGAATTGCCTCCACTATGCATTAATTCAAAATGAACAGGAAAGATCAAAACAGAGTACTGGGAATGGTGTGCTGCTGGGTTGGTTTGGGGAGAGGGACTGAAATGTAAAATCTGTATTTCCCCCCATTAATCACCCACCAGAATAGCTCCTATCTTAAAAGGCTTAAACTAAGAGCAAAAGTCAGGGGACAGCAACAGGAAAAAGGATGCTTGCTTATGCCTGCTTCTAGTCTAGGCTTTAGACAAATAGGCCCACTGCAACGTCATCATTTCAGGAAATAAAGATTTGGGTCCTCTATACTAGGAACAGAATGTATAGTGTTTACATTACATATCTTAATGTTGATCTAAGCATAGCCTGTGTCTATATTGGAAAACAGGCCCAAAGGAAAATAAGCGATTCCCAACACTGGATAAACTGCATTTAAAAAACTGATTTTATAGAAGAAAATGCCTCTACCAACAAAAAATTAAGCTTGAGGTTCCACCACCTTGAATGAAGCTCCTCAAATAAGAAAGTGGTCTCCTCTATCAGTGGTATACCAGATAGCCAGGCATGGTGGCACAGGCCTATAATTTCATTGACTCCAGCTGAGGCAGGAGGGTCAGCCCCCATAATTTAGTAAGACTCTTGTCTCAAGAGATGGGTATGTAGCTCATTGTTAGAGAACTGCTTGGGTTCAACTCCAAAACCACAAAAAAGCAGGGGGTGGTTAACAATGAGATGGGGGGGGCGGTTAACAATGGGATATGGACCCCAATTTTAAACTAGAATCATAAGAAAGAGGCATTCTTATTAACAATATTATTTCTGGGTGGTAATAATATGGAGATTTTAAGTTTCATATCTGTGTTTTGTTTTTGCTTGCAGATGATAAACATGGATTGCTTATGTAATAGAAAGGCCCTACAAGGATGACAATGTCTCTCACTGATAACACACCCACCATTATCTCACTGGTACCAGAAGTAAAACAAAACATCATTAAGAGCATTTATCATATGACAACACTCACATATTTCATCTAATCTTTAAAACTAATCTCTGTGTCAAGATACCATCTTTGCTAGGTCTGAGAATATGGCACATGTTAGAGAACTTGCCTAGCATGTGCGAGGCCCTGGGTTCAATGCCGCCCCCCCCAACTATCTTGTCACCCCCCCCAAAAGATATTATCTCTGCTGTACAAATGAAGACAAAGAAAACTTAGATTAAGTAACTACCCTCAGGACACCCAACTAGCACAGAATAACTAAGATTCTTATGTAGGTTATGTGACTAGAGAAACTATGCTGTTAACTTTTATGCTATGCCTTCTCCAAAACAAGAAATAGCTATTTTCTCTACAAAAATAACTTGGGGCTGGGCACCCTTCGCACACCTTATAGTACTAGCTACTTGCAAAGCTCAGGAAGGAGGATTCTGAATTCAAGGCCAACCTAGACAAAAGATTAAGAACCTTTATAAAAGAAATAAAAGAAAGAAATGCAACCACTTGGTTCTACAACAAAATACAATACACACCTCAGAAATGCCATCAGTAAAGAAGGCATGAAGTACCTCAGAATAAACTTAAGGAATGTGTAAAACCTAGTGAAAAGTTGCAAAACACTAAGAAACTAAGTCAGTTCTGTTTTTACACAGGAAAACTCAACATTTTAAGAATATAATTTTCTCCAAATACTATAAGCAAAAAAGCATACTTATTTTCTTTAATTTATAAAATAAATAAAAAATTCATCTTGGGATTGATAAATTCCTAGAAAATTTTAAAAACAATTAGAGGTGGGCTGGGGTTGTAGCTCAGTGGTAGAGCACTTGCCTAGCATATGTGAAGCATTGGGTTCGATTCTCAGCACCACATATACATAAATAAAATGAAGGCCCATCGACAATTAAAAAAAACCTCTTTAAGAAAAACATTAAAGAGATGAATAAGGGGACAGAAGAGGAGTGCATAATTTTTCAAATTATAAAACTACCTACAGTAATTAAAGCAAAATAATGCTAGTATACAAACAGATCAAGACGAGAAGGAAATTCAAAGCTAGTCGGTATTTCTTAACCACAAAGAATGAATTGCTCAATAAATAATATTAGACTACTGCCTGAACTTACAACCAATTCATTCTGGTGGAAAGAATTATATTACTCCATTTTACTTTTCTTTTAAACAAAGAATTATATTAAAAATAACACTTTAAT